GCCGAAACGTATAGAAGGGGAAAAAGACGGACGTGTTTAAGCAAGTCGGCGGTTTTATTAGATGATGTTTTCAGTTTTCTCCTCTTGATCCCAGTGAGAAACAAGCAAATAGGTTCATTTCAATAGGTTTGTGAGTCTGTAACTGGTCTTGTAGCATATGGCTCAACAGTTTTGTGGGTAAAGGTATAATATCATTTCAATATATCAAATTTGAGGAAAGGGGTTGTTCAACATGATACTATCTATGTTGTGGTTGTGTTTTTGCTCTGCCTCCCTCCTCCCTTTCTGTTTTGCAGGGCATGTGTGTGACGGGGGGCGTGGCTGGCTCTGCTGCTGTTCCTCATCAGCATCACTTCTCTGCCAGATAATTCAATGTCACAAGTTAGTAAACAGCAGCAGTGTGAGTTTGTGCTTTCGTGTTTTTACTCATGGTTTTTTGTTTTGAAAACGAATACCTGTGTTCAGGTATTCGTTTTCCTGACCAGCCAGCCAGCTCCCTGTCTCCACTGCCTGCCTTCTGTTTTGGTATACATTTTTTGTTAGTATATCCATATCTTGAATTGTGCTCCATCTCAGTCTCTGCTTTGCGGTCCAACACACAAACCCTAACAATCTATCTTTTCAGACTATATTTTTTTTAACCTTTAACATGTTTGCACACTTCTGTCTTTTGCACAATCTGAGTGATTCAACCCAAGGCTAAATGTGTGTAAATTTCTACAGTGTGAGATCAATAAAGTCTCTTATCTTATCCAACTCTTTGAATAAAAATATAGGCAAGTTCTATAAGCAGTTCATACACAAAGCAACTCAAAGTGAAATCAAGATAAAAAACCATACAAGGCATTAAAATCATAAATAATCACAGCACATTAAAGAAGAGGAAAAAGCTCCTTTATTCGTCCCACAATGGGGAAATTTCAGTTTGATGCATTCCATACACATCAAGGCAAGCAGCAAATATCACTTCTGCGCTCCTTCCAGGCAAAGTGGGTTAAGTGTCTTGCCCAAGGACACAATGGCAGCAGTGGGAGTCATTGGAGAGGGTCTTGTGGTGGGCTCGAACCCACAACCTTCAGGCTGAAAGGCCAATGCTCAAACAACTTAGCCATTGTCCCCACTGAGGGAAGATAAATCCCCTAATTTGTATGCACAGCTAAACAACTGTCTCACATTATCAGGAAGACTGTTCCAAACGCTGCCTCCCCATGTTTAGTTCTGACTCTGGGCACCAGCAAGAGGCCAGTCCCTGTAATCCTCAGAGTCCGAGTTGGTTCATATGGTACTAACATGTCACAGATTAGTGCAAGGCCATGGAGAAACAGTAAATAAACAGTGAAGATATCAAGGGGCATTTGTTTATAACTGAAGGGTGTGGGGCAGTTTCTACATCTTCCTACTTACCATTGCACTGTTTGTCCTCAAGTGATTGGCAACTTTTGGTTTTTCTGTGTTTTAGGTTCAACATTTTTACAGATTTTCAGTTTCATTGTCTCATTGCTGCTATTATTTTCAGCATCTGTACCACACTTTTTTCTGTATTTGTGACTTGCACTCAAAGCTATAGTTGCATCTTTCATGAGACATATTTGTTCTGCTTTTTGGGCTTTCTTTCTTGATTGTAATTTTAAAAGGGTTGCAACACAAACGAGAATTTGAAACATAGCAAGATATGCATGAGTTTCTCTCACGACATGCAACATTTTGTTTTCACTTTCTCATCATTCTGCCATTCATGGACAGCAGGCAAGAGAAGCACTCGTGGTAGTGAATTGGAAACAGAATTCATGTTTAGAATTTAAAGTGCACATCCCATGGAAACAAAAAAGCAATTTAGTTGAACTTACCGTAGCAAAAATAAGGCACATGATGTAAAACAGAAAAAAGGATCACTGACAAGAGACATTACAGGTTTGATGGTGCTGATTACAATTCTTGGTCTTCTAGTTCACATTTTAGGAAACCTCTCACTCATTGTGCCCCCAGAGACACCAGAATGTGTGTGTGTGTGTGTGTGTGTGTTTGTGTGTGTGTTTGCCCGGATTGCATCGCTCTTATCTTTGTACAATGGCTTTTTACGGTTTGAAATAGAGTTCTTATTCTCCCTCTTCGGCACAATGTGTTCCTCTCTTCTCTTTCCACACCTCCTCACTCTAAATTGTCTCATTTGGTATGTGACGACGGGCCGAGCACGGGGGCCCCTCAAGTCCTGCGAGTGCAGCGAGGCCAGCTCTACTTGAGAAAAAAAATGAACTCTTGAATCTTCCTCACACGTCCTTCAAAGAGTGGATTCCTGCCGCTCACTTTTATAGTCACAGTCTATACAGTGGCATGAAAAAGTGCTAAAACCACTTTTGCTCATGCTGTCTTGTTCCGACTACCACGATTTCGATCTTACTATTTTAAGACCCCGACAAAGAGATAACTGAAGCTATTCCAATGTTGAACTGCAAATGGCAAAAAAACGGAATCTTGAATCTTAAAGGTAGATAGGAGGATTTCCCCCAAATTTTAGGAGAGAACCGCCCTCTCCACTGTTTGAACAAAACTCTCTGGTATAGTTTGACGAGCATGAATCACCAGAATGATTGACAATTGGGACGACCAATAGCGTTAATGATCCACCCGGAAGTTTAAAATCCTCCTATATACCTTTAAGTGAAATCATGACACTGAAAAGTGGGGCCTGTATTCCTAAATCATTTCCAAGAGTGCATTGCATTTTTGTTTTATTTATTTATTTATTTGGTTGCACAGGTTTGTGTCCTCGAGGAGAAGTGGGACTCTGGAAGCACAGGTCGGCCCTGAAGTCCAGGGCGATCTCTCTGACCAGGCTCTGAAGGGCAGTTTGCAGATGTGCAGCTCTGTGGACTTCTTCCTAGCAGAGAATCACCTTTCGGGGCAACGGTGCTTGAGGCCTGTGGCGGGAGGCTTCTGCACTCAGCTGATGGCCTGGGCCTTGGTGTCGGGCTGATTCCTCCGAGCCTTTCCTCTTGTGGATTTTAGACACACACAGCCTGTTTGATTCTGACCATTTTCTCTTGCTCTTTGAAACCCTGAATTCTGTACTGGACTGATATTCACACATGCAAAAGCACAAAAAGGACTGTATCTGAATCTGTATCTGAGCTACTGTACGCTGACCATGCATTTATGTTTTCCCTTTATTCTATTGAGTATTATTCTGTGGGAAAAGCACAATCAAATCTGCGGCCAACAACTCCAACTGCCCTTTGTGACCTTGGCAGAGACAGGCTAGTCCCTACTGGCTTTGTATGCATGATTAAACTCACACACATACCACACTGGCAATGGTGTGCGCTCGATAGCCAAGTCCCTAGCGCTCTAAATGATCATCGTATGTGCTGGACGCCCCGATGCTTGGACTCCATGTAAGCAAGGCAAGTAAAAATAACTTGTTTTCTTTTCGCAGGTCAATGTTATCGACCTGCTTGTAATGAGACGCACATGTTTGTGAGCAACTAAGAGCTGTCAGGCCAAAGGAATTATTTATGTTTAGCTTAGGACTTGCTAAGCCGGTCGTGTACATGCTAGCTTTGGCGGCGGGCGCTAACTACACCCCACGACGCCGCGCTATCCGTCAGCTGAATCAGGATTTGTTTTGTTTAGAGATATTTTCGGATGGATAAACATGCAGCGTGGACATTATTTATAAGTCGTGCGAGGCTAATGCTGCTGCCCGCTGGATACAAACAGCAAGCAGACACGGAGGGGCAAGCTAAACAATATTGATTTTTATTAGCAGTGCAATCTGAGCTCCTGCTGAAGGTAGTGAGACAGGGTTTTCTATAGAGCGTCAGACGGTATTGGATTATATGAATGACTGTGTGATTAATGAATGGAAGGGTATTATTGACAAACGTATTTATTGACACTATTCCAGAGTCTGCCTTTAGGGCTACATATAAAATATTGTTTTCTGATGTTGTTCTGAGCAGAGCAGAGGGAAAGGAAAGCATATAATATAAAGTGGCTTGTCCTGAATTCATCCACAAACAAAATATCTACAGATTTTCCAAGTAGATCTAGGTCTGGACTCGGTCTGGGGCCTTATGTTTTGTTTTCTTTCGAAACAGATGCATTTTCTCTATTCAACTTCCCATGAACTCTTGGAACTGGGATGGTCCAGGACGTTCATGAACAATCTATGGACATTAGGGACATATCCCAAAACCCTATGCGCCTTTGGTCCACAAGACAAAACAATGAAATATATCTTTCGATGTTTGATTGATTTGACAGTTTTTTTTAGTCCTTACAGAAAACTGCTATTGTGAATTAGAGCTATTAAAAATACATTGAATTTGATATTTGACACTGGGGATGGTGCACAGAGGGTATTGAACAGTGTTATTTTTCAGGCTTTGAAGGTTCTTTTAATAAGACAAGAAAGTTAAGAAAGCTAGTACTGCTTAATTACCCGGCACACTTCCGCCTTCATCAGAGGTGACACGTGATGGTGTGACGCGTCTCTTCTCAGCTGTTGTTGCCGGATGCGGTCAGTCTGACAGATCTCACAGATTCCTCAGACTGACCACGTCCCTCTTTGTGTTGTGGTCTCTGGAGAAGTGAATCCCAAGTGTGAGCCAAGGTGAAAGTCCCCTCGTCTCTGTTGATGGTTCGTGCGCCCACTTCCTGATTTCAATGATGTGATTTTCTCTTTTGCAGTAGTCTGATATTGTCGATTTGAGGTTTTCCTGCGCTGCCCTTTTCATGGATGATCTTGATAGTCGTGCCGCCGTTTCTTTCTGACTAACGCTAAATACAAAAATAACATGTGTTTTACTTGGTCCTTATTTTGGATAATTGAAATGGCACTCAAATAGTGGCACTTTACTGTGAACACACCCAAGTTCTATTGTACTGCACTTTGAATGACGATAAAAATGTGCTATATAAAAAAAAACGATTACTTACTCAACCAGAAACTAACACATTCTCTCCTGGGGTCTAGTTTTCCTCCACAGCGCTGCACCTGTTCACCTGCCTGTGATAACCAGCCTCAGTCCTTTGCCAACATCCTCATCTGACTCCCCGGCTCCATGCCCCTCCACCCTCTGCTGCCACTGACCGGCGGCCAAGGTCAGCCACGAGCCAGGTCCCAGGGCGAGCGCGGTACTTAGGCCCAAATCTACAGTTTGCGATGCCATGTGTGCCGTAAATAATTCCACATGACACCGGGTTGGCCGGCCCCGCAATAGTTATGGGAACAGATGGACGGAATCATTAGCATTCCAGTCACCAAACTAGGCTTCTCCCGTCACGTTTACGAGGCAAGGCAGGGCAAGTTTATTAGTATAGCACAATTCATACACAAGGCAACTCAAAGTGCTGAACAAAACAAGATAGAGACAGTCACAGGGGGATTAAAATCATAAATAATCACAGTACATTAAAAAGAGGAAAGAGAAAATCTCTGTTTTAACCTGGATTTGAACATTGTCAGAGAAGGAGCCTGTCTCACATTTTCTGGAAGACTGTTCCAGATTTTAGCTGCATGAATCTGAAATGCAGCCTCCCCATGTTTAGTCCTGACTCGGAGCACTAGCATGAGGCCTGTCCCTGTGCTCCTTAGAGTCAGAGTTGGTTCATATGGCGCTACCATGGCAATTATTATGACCTTGGCCTGTAAAATGCGCTATATAAATAAATGATTACTTGCTTATTACTTACTTACATTGTGGACTTGCTGTTAGCGTTTCAGAAAAGGTTTAGTCTACGCCGTCTCGGAATGCACCGGTTCAACCACGGAGATGAAAAGAAGAGGCATCGCCATAGCAACAGAGATGCCATAGATAGATCCTCATTACTGCAGGTGAATAGAGTCCCCTTTCAAGCAGAGATTAAATCAAAAGAACTGGACAAGTGCAGGTTTTCACTTGGACGGTAAATAGTTCCTTTCTGGAGTTTGATAAATGTTAGAACGAAAAACACACGCACACAAGATAGATTTTGGAACGTGCAAGATCAAAATATCTGCCAGTTTTTCCCTCTACTTCAAAGAGTAAATTGTGAGCCATTATCCAGACGGTGCCTGATTTTCCAGCGTTGATTTCTCCCATTTCTGTTTGCCTTCAATTAGACCGTGCCGAATAGATTTGGATCAGCAAACCATAATTTTCCATTCCTGGTACTAGATGGGAGTTTTGGCACATTCCGGTCACACACACATTCTCAAGAGCATGTTTAAAGCTTGGATACACAACTTTTACCATACGTAAATTAAGCCCAAAATGTAAACAAATAATTCATCATATTAATTATTTAAAGCAGTGGTACCCAACAGAAAGAGTTTTGTAAAAGTAAAATCAAACCACAAGTCTTTATCTTAAAAAGAACAATCTTTTACATACATTGAGTAGAAAGAGAGTCACTATTTGACTCGTTGGGATGAGAGCTGATTGGCTGAGTGAGGGTGGATGGCTGTCTCTCTGTTAAATAGCTCTGCATCCAGTTCCCAGCTACTCCTTGAATACCATATTTTTCCCAATTTATTGAGTAAAAAGGCATGATTCATTGTGTCACGTGCGGTGAGATGAAGGAAGGAACCAAAATGCAAGAATGCCAAAAATGAGGATTTAATGTTGATAAATAATAATCATAATAATAAAACACAAATTCCAAAAATCCCAAAGGTACATACAGACACAGAGAGATACGGGTGAAACGCATCAGGACGGGGAAGATGATCAAGACAGGAAGTAAAACTAAAAATAAAATTACAAAATAACACCATGGCAGCCAAGGGACAGCTCCCAGATGTCCCAAGATTAAAAGTGAGCCTGGGAAGGTGGAGGGGGGCCTGGAGGAGGGGTCAGAGGCAGTTCAGAGGCCGGAACAGGTCAGGGGCACGAGCTGAAGCCCAGTGGTGACCTTCCACATGGAAATGGTTCACCCCGGGCGGTGACACAGACAAGAACAAAGCCACCCCAGACAGAGAACATTGTCTGGTGGTGGAAACAGGTTAAAGGAAGGAGAGGTCATCAAAGAGGCTGATAAACGTGGGGAAATCCAGGCACACCAGACAGGAACATCCAGATGAACCCTTTACTGTTAACCTCTCTACAGGTCAGGGGAAGGGAAACGGGTGAAACACATCAGGGCGGGGTAGACAATGGTCGGCCCTATAGATCATTTACGGAATCAGGACGGAAGCAGAAGTAAATATAACCAACAAACTAAACTAATGAATCCATGCCTAAACTTAACCAGCCATTCCCATAGAACAGGTGTCTCCAAACTTATTCACCCAAAGAGCTACAGTACTTTCCTGGGACGATAAAGGCAGAGAGCTACTCCATTAAGCGGCCCTGGACATTTTTTTTTTTATATTGGTGTGAACAAGCCTGATATTGGGTGCGTTCATTATTTATCATTGCATATTTGTTATTGGTCATCAAAGTGAGAGCATTTATAATAATACCTAATAATAATGAATAGTGCAGTCTGAAATAGTAAATATACTATCTGATTTGTTCATTTCTAAATCCTTTGGCGAGCTACCTGGAAGGGGGTGGCAAGCTACTGGGGGCTCCCGAGCTACAGGTTGGAGACCCCTGCCATAGAATAACCAACCTAACCCCAACCTAAAACTTAACCAGTCACCACTTAACAGAGGTGTCAAAAGTACCAGTGTTCAGTACTTAAGTAAAAGTACTAATACTTTTGCAAAAAACTACTCTGGTAAAAGTAAAAGTACTGCACCCTCTGCCTTACTTAAGTAAAAGTAAAAAAGTACATACTCTTAGATGTACTTAAGTAAAAAAGTAAAAAGTAAATCAATATTTTTCCTCTTAAAAAAAAAAAAAACAAAACTTGTTTTGACCTTCAAATTCTTTATTCTTTTACTCAGACTCAACTCAGAGTACTGCTGCACCGAACAAAATAAATGTCACTTTGTGTGAAATTAAATGCACATCCGACAATGTAGTAATACCCGTAAGATCATTCAAGAGCGCCTGCAGAATGTGGTATTTTCATCATTCCTATAACTTAAACTACAAACTGTAAAAGTGCAAGAAAAACAAAGTGCAAAAACATCCCAAATAACTTGGAGCTTATAGTATGACCAAACTATACAATGGGAAAATGGAACCATCCCGATATATAAGGGGAAAAGCAAACTACCAAAATTTTGGATTTAGCTTCAACAGAAGCATGTTTTCAAGGTTTTGTGAATGGATGCGTGCCCTTTTGGGTCGGAAAATGAGTCCTGCTGTGCTGAAGAGCCTTTCGCAGGCAGCAGAAGCAGGTAGTGGAGTGTTCAGCTGTAGTGAAAGGTTCAGGACTGCAGGAAATGACTTCAAGATTTCCATGGTGTCATTGGGACAGGCCAGGTATGACTCAAGCTGTTTGGTGTTTTCTTGCAAGTTCCCTTGCTTGATAGGTGAAAAAAAGTCATCTTCCTCTGAAGAAGGCGTGGAGTCACTGACAGTCACAGGTAGCTCTTTGAGATGGCTTTTGATGTAGTCAAGGCCTATCAAAAACACAGTGCAAATACAGCAATATTAGTACACCATACATTTTTGCATTAACCATTCAAATACATGTCTCTTAAGTAAATATAACAGATCAATGCACAAAAAAATAAAACAAATAAAAATACACACCACCGAGTTGTAGAAGGCCCTCATCTGTGGTCCAGCATCTTCTGAATTTGGGCACCAGAATGGAAGCTGCAATGAGCTCAGGATCCTTGAGCATCTCACCAAAGCGCTTCTGAAGTCCAGATTGAAGAGCATCTATGAGCGGCACACAGCACTTGGAGGAGAGTCGAAGGTGTTGTAGTTTAGTCTTGAGAAGAGTAATAGTGGGAATGAGCCAACCCATCTGCACATTGGTCTCTCCTTGAAGAACATCAATTGCCTTTGCAACAGGACACATTATCTTGACATATTCACTGAGAAAGGCAATCTCAGCAGGAGAGAGCCTGAATAATAAAAAAAAAATAATAATGATAAAACATCAGTGGCTACTAAAGAGAAACAAGCACAAACTACATTACACATTTTAAACTGTATGTTACATGATTATTAAACTTAATATAATATAAATATCATAAAAGTTACTCACATGGGCAATTTAAGTGTAGTACACACAGCTGTGATGGCTCCTTCTCCTTGTTCTCTCATGATTCTTATTATTCTCTCAACAGCCAGGTACATGGAATTCCACCTTGTGTCATTGGGCCTCAGGAGCTGGAGTTTACATTTTTCCTCAATGATTTCAGCCGCAGCAGTAGATCTCCCACTTTTATTCCACAGGCCCCAGCATTTTGAAAAGGCTGACCGGGAAAGTCGTTTGTACGTTGCATTTGCATTGGCATCTGAAACGTCAACAGTTGACACCAGGTTGAGAAGGTGGCAGGCACAGCGATGGTGCTTGGGAAGTTGGTATTCAAGGCCATCATCTTCGTTCAATAATGTTGTTGCTTCAATGAAGTTTATATTTCCCTCCTGTTCTCTTTCCTCACCTTCACTGTTTTCACTTGCATCCGATTCACTTTGCCTTTCCTGGTTATTATTTTCCTCCCCCTCTCCATACACCCGGAAAGCTTTGATGAAATTTGACCCATTGTCTGTTGTTGTGCGTACAATTTTGTCCCGAATGTTGAATTCTGTGTGAATGTCATTCAGTGCTCGAGCTAGGCTGTCAAATGTGTGTGAACCTCTTAACTGTTTGCATGCCAGTGCTACAGAGCATCTAGTCATAGTTTCTGTCTCAATCCAATGTGCAGTGACTCCAAGGAAACTTCTCCTGTGTGCGGTCCAACAATCAGTAGTAGTTGCAATGAACTCAACCTCATTCATAGCAGCTTTAAGATTTTTCTTCATTTCTACTGTAGCTTTTTCGACCCTGTTTATCATTGTGCCCCGGGACATTATTGTCACATCTGGTTGCAGGTGATTGATCATAGCTTTGAAACCCTGCTGCTCGACAATGCTGCCTGGGTGCAGACCTTGAATGACAAAGTTCAAAATGAATTCATCCACACTCTTCTGCGAGACCCTCTTGACATCCCACAATTTAAGCTGTTTGGATGAGCCTTCATCAGATGTGGACGACTTCCTTTTCAATGGAGCTGCAGTGAAATTTTTGTATCTTTCCAAATGATTGGCATGTTTCCTCTGTTTGCAAACAAAATATAAAAACAGATCAGCTCAAATGTATTCCTTGCATTAAAATAATACAAGCATATATTCGTAACACTGAGTTACTATACAACACAAAGTGTTGTATTGTAAAGTGTTGATAGTTATTCAACAGCTTGATTTGAACTGAGCAATAACACGATGAGATTTTAAACATATTTCCACAGCCAAAACGAGACTTAAAAAAATAAAATAAAATCTAAATGTGTGGCTACTTTTACGGTTATGATTTGGGAGTGGGAGAATAAATGTGTAAAATGTGTAAATCGTATCAATGCAAACGTGACATGAGTTACAGCTAGTGCGGCCAGACCACAAGCTAGCACCACTTTCTTGCAAACTAATAGTGCCCCCAAAGCATTACTGACACACTTATATCTTTTTAAAAACCTCCAGAATTAATCAAATGTAGCCTATACTAGTAACAACAATACGAAATCTAAATAACAAACCTGAATGTGCTTCTTCAGATTGGACGGTGAATTCTTGAATGCCAAAAGTTCGTGTTTTTTGGGCAAGCACAGGTTGCACTGCATCCGCCACGTCTAAAACTAGTTAGAAAGTAGGATTGTTACTTCCGCTTCTGTCCGATTCCGTATATGATTTAGCGCCGACCGGTTGACAATCAAGACATGGAACAAGACAGGAAGTAAAACTAAAAATGAAACCACAGAGAACTATCGTCAAAATAGAAGCAAGTACAAAATAACTGGAAATCCACACCATGACAAAAGGCCTTCTTCAAATCAACAAATATTACTATTAAAAATTAATTGTCATTGAGATTTGGAGTTATTTCCTTCCAAATTTGCCATTGTGGTAGATCTATTTTATCTATTCTTTCTATTCTATTCAATACATTTCCCCAAATGTGTGCTAAAAACTAATATTTTTGAACATTTGGGGAAGCAGATAGACTGGTCTATAGTTCGTGAAGATGTTTTTGGATCCATCTTTGCATAGGGGTATAACTTTAGCAATGTTCATTTGTTAGTAAAGTTATATATAATTTACTCTATATAGAAAAAATACATGCATAACTAGTGACAAACTGTTTAGAGAGCGAGAAACTGCGTAGATGGCTTTTTTTATGACGCAGTCCCACTTTTTTGTAGTTTTAAAGTGATGCACCCCAGCTTTGATATATTTTGATACACATTTCTGTTATAACACAACTCAGTCAACTTTTGTACTTTCTCTCCTATCTTTGGCCCATCCTGTAATAGTTTACACAGCGCATTCAATCATTTCCAAAAGCCCAGACGGAGCCAGGGAAAGGACAACATGGGCAGGGGTCTCTCCAGGTCAGCACGTTTATAAGGCTGAGGTTGTGACCCATTCCCGCTGCAACAACAACAGCAGTCAGTCCCAGCACAGACCAAAATGACAAATCATCACAATCCATCCGTACGGAGCGCAGCTCAACCCACTTCCTCTGGGCTAAAATCTTTACAATTAGATTTGGAGAAGGACGGTCAGCATTTTTTGGAGGTAATTGAATTGGTCTGTCAAAAGCGTAATAGCATGTATAAGCTGGTTCCTTATTTCAAATGCCAAAGAGCTGTTGTTATTGCTGACATGGCAACCCGAAACATTACCCCTGTATTTGTTGTAGAGGGATATGAATTAATGAAAGCACATAGAAGTACTGGACGCACCATAGCCCAGTCGCTCGCTCTAATCTTTTTAAAGTGCAGCTTCTTTCTCTGTAATTTTAATATTTTGGTGGATAATTTTTTTGAGTCACTAAATCTACTTAAAGCTTGGAACTGAAATGTACCTCATTGGGGCATCCTTATCACTTGGTTTTATTCACTTTTACCATCCAAATGCATCTCAATCATTTGGTAGTACAACAAACTAGGGGTTAAAAAAACAAAAAAAAATGATACATAAAAAATCTTAAAAAATATCTACAGTATAACAAAACAGAGGGAGGTCTCAGAATGCATGGATGCAAAATAAGACAATAATAATCTTGTTATACAAATTATGAAGAAAAAAGAATAAGACGCAAAAAAAGAATGAAGCTAAAACTGAATGTAGGAACCAGGTGGGGGAAACACAGAGACTAGGACTAATGTCGAGGGACCAGCAACAAATGGGGAAAAGCACAGGGGACATACAGACACTGGTGAAACACATTAGGGTGGGGCAGACGCTGAACAGGGAACAGGACAGGAAGAAAAAAAAACACAACCCCAAGAGAATTCAAAATAAAACCAAAATAAGCACCAAAAAACACAAATCCACACCGTGACAATCTACTATAGCTAGAGGTTCTCAAAAAGTTTTTCAGATTGTATGCATCCCTTCAGTAATAGAAAAGGCCAAATACTTCTCATCCCCTTGCACTATCACAACATAAAAGCAGAAAGCTGGTGGAAATGTTTCAATTGTAAAGTCTTCCACATAAAAACTCTTTCACATCACGTCTTCATCAAGGCTTGTTTAAGTTGAGGAGGAAAAATATTATAATAACGTAAATAAAAGTATATAGGAGGATTTTCAAGAGGAAAGAATGATTAACAATTAGGAGGACCAAGATGATCCACCCGGAAGATGAAAAGTCTCCCGTAAACCTTTAAAGATTGATTGACATCATGCTTTACTCTGCTGCTAATCCATTTTACCTGTGGATTATAATTATGTAAAATAGCCACTGGTTTGAAGAAAATGGATGGATGGATGGATAGCCTCTGGTTTGATGGCCCTTTATATGAGGGAGGTATAGATGGCTTCAAACACTACTCAAACATGCATGAATCTGACTAATAACAGTCTTGTCTGGGTAAATGACAAGGGATGCAGTACATCCAAAATGCAGCAGCTCGAGTCCTGACTAGAACCAGGAAATACGACCACATTAGTCCGGTCCTCAGGTCTCTGCACTGGCTTCCTGTGGCTCAGAGAATTGATTTTAAAGCAGCTCTGCTTGTGTACAAGTCTCTACATGGTCTTGCACCGAAGTACATTGGTGACATGTTGGTGCCGTATGAGCCAACTCGGACTCTGAGGAGCACAGGGACTGGACTCCTGATGGTGCCCAGAGTCCGGACTAGGCATGGAGAGGCTGCATTTCAGGTGTATGCCCCAAAAATCTGGAACAGCCTTCCTGAGGATGTACGGGAGGCCTCATCTTTAGCATTATTTAAGTCTAAGCTGAAAACCGTTCTTTTTAGCTGTGTATATGACTGACTTTTATATATTGAGCTTTTTATACCGTTTTTAATTCTGAAATTCAGTTTGAAATGTTTATTTTTATGCAACAATTATTATTGTTTTTGTTATTATTTTATATTACGTTTTATGTGTTTTAAAATGTTTGTAAATGTGTATGATCTTGTGTTCTTGTGAAGCACTTTGGGCTGCACTGCATGAATTGTGCTTTATAAATAAACTTGATTGATTGATTGATTGGGATAACCACTACAACATGGTCAAAACTTTCACCCCTTTCTTTCTTTCTGAGGACCAAATACAATCACTTCAGTTTTGTCTGTGTTAAGTTGAAGGAATAACATTTTTTGGGCCAATTAAAGGTCCTACAACGGTCACTGCTGGTTAAAAATGGTCAAACTCACAGCTCTTCTTAGACGTACTCGCGCGTCTACACGTACAAACTAAACGCTATCGGGGGGTAATGCGGAACTGCGGCAAGATCGGGGTGCATGAAGCGCACGGCTGCCATTGCTAGCCCACCTCTGCTTTGTTTTGAGTCCGTGCAGCTTTTCTTTGGAGTTTCGAACATGAAAGCCAATCCCCCTCCCCGCCCAATCCCCGCGAGGCCCTTGTCCAACGATATTAGCTGAAAAGAAATTAAAGAGTGCAGTCAAATTAACCATAGATCACGCCGCGACCTTGGCGGGACAATTATAGCGGCTGCATAGAAAACCCCCTGATGAATTTTCAGTATGTTCTTGGGCTAAATAAAGTGAAGCTGCCATCAAAGTGTGTGCATGGTAACCGCGGTGACGGCT